AAACAGGCCCAAAATTATTGCCTATCATGTTTGTAGGTGGAACCAGAATGCTGGCAGATTCTAGATAGGCCAGTCTATGAGGATGGGCTTCCCCCATACATGCAAGCAGTCCCCAATCCTCAGGAGGCTCTGAGCAGTGCACCAGAAGGAGGGCTTCTTCTGTGGGTGGAGGTGGGACTAGGACACTTGCTGACTCTGGACAGGCTGGTCCACCTTAGTGGGGTTCTCCAATCATGAGCAGACCCCAGGCCCCAGGAGACGCCCTGTTTTACTCTTATCATTTATTTACTTATTTGCTTGTTTATTTGTTTATTTATTTGGTTTTTTGAGGCAGAGTTTCTCTGTATTGCTTTAGAGCCTGTCCTGGCACTCGCTCTATAGACCAGGCTTGCCTCAAACTCATAGGGTTGGAGATGTGAATCTAGATTCGGGGTGTATTTAGGAAACCTAACAGATAAGGTCAGACAAAGGATTGCTAAATACAGAAAGCAAAGAAATATATTGTAAATCATATTTAAAAATAACAAGAATGGAACACACAGTCACATAAAGATAAGCCCACTAGAATAATACTTTATCAATAAAGTGGAATTTTAAAAGCCAAAATGAACTGGGTATATGCATTACAAGTTTTCAAAGACAACAACCATGAATTTAGGCTACTATACTCAGCAAAAGTATATTGCAAAATTAAACAAAAACTTCCTGTGATAAAAATTGTTTTAAAAATTAAATTTATAACCTCTCAGCCAGACATACAGAAGTGATTTCAGTGAATCATTGCAATGAAAGAAAAAATAATTCATTTAAGAATCCACAGAAAAGAATAATCACGCTGGAATAATGCAAAGCAAAAGAAGAATTGAAACAAAACACTGATAATGACAGAAATCAATAATTATCATCTTAATTTCACAATGAAAAGACAAGGCCTGATGGAGTCAATGGTCAGAGACCATTTTGTTTGGTTGTTTCCAAGAACCATATTTTTTTTCCAAGAAATTTGCTTCATCACAATGGACAAATGTCATATTAAGGACGTATAAAGGTATTCCAAGCAAATTCACATAGAAAGCATTCTGACTTCAGAAATAGTTTATCAAGAAGGCATCACCATTTCACACACATATGTCCTAGATAAAAGTGCATTAAATTTTATGAGACAAATGCTTCCAGATGTGAATCATATATTAACACGAGAACAAAACTAAAATAGATCCCTTCAATGCTCTACTGACACCAATTAACAGTTCTTCTGTACTCAAAAGAAACAGGCTAATATTTGATTTAACTGATACAATTGATCCAATAGTTTTAACAGAAATCTATAGAATGTTACATCTAAACCTACAGAATACACATTGTTCTTATAAGTGTACAGAACTTTCTCTAAAATAGATCATATATTAGGCTACCTAGTAAGAAAATTGAAATTTACCGCAGTCTCTCTGACTGCAGAGGAATGAATCTAGAAATTAATAGAAACAGCAAACAAACAAACAAATAAGACAGGACCATGATGATTAAATAGTATACAATTGGGCGATAAATGGGAATTTGAAGAAATCAAGAAGGAAACAAAAATCCTAGAATCAAAAGAAAATTTACCAAAACTATAGTACAATGAAGCAGGTCTATTGCTCTAGAAAAGGGATCAAAAATACCAAATTAGTAGACAGAAAAAAAATAGGATTGGAGAGATGACTCAGTGATTAAGAGTACATATTATTCTTCCCTAGGAACTGAATTTGTTTCTGAGCACCCACATCAGGTAGCTTACAAATTCTTGTAACCACAAGTCCAGGTGAATCGGACACCTCTGACCTGTGTGAGTACTATTTGCATTCATGTGCATATACTCCCCATATACATGATTAAAATGCTAAAAATAAATATTAAAAAAAGATTCATGCATTTAAATATAGCACTTGGGAGGTAGAGGCAGAAGCAGATGTATTTTGTTGTGTTTGTAGCCAGCCTCATTTACATAATAAGTTCCAGGACAACCAGAGGTACATAGTGGAACTCTCTCTCAAAAATACATTTATATAAAAGACAGATACCAATTGGATGCACACAATCATTAGGTTATATAAGATATGTAAGTTTTCTATTATAATAAACTGGAAAGTCTAAGACAAATGAGTAAATTAATACTTGTACATAACCTATGATACTTAAAACAAGATGATATAAAGTAAAGAGATCTATAGCAAGCAATCAGATTGAACTAGTAAGTAAATACATCTCAATGGAACAAAGCCTAGGCCCAGGTATATTCTATAGTGAATTTCAGCAGACCTTTAGTGAAGAAATAACAGAAATTTTCTCAAACTGTGGCATAAATTAGGGAAAGAAAGTTAGCAAATGTTTATGAAGCTAGTATATTCCTACTATACTGTAACCAGATAAAGATACAATAGAAAATAAAATGATTGACCAATGTCCCAATGAAATCACATATTCAAAATTTTCAGCCAAACACTTGCAAGCTGAATTAGAAAAAACACATGAAAGTTGATAGGGGAAGGACCCTGAGGACTCAGAACTGCAGTCAACTAAGAAATGGTGACAGCTGGAGAAATAGTTTTCCCCAGGGAAGAACTCATCAATTTGTTATCCAAAACCATATAGTCAGTGCTAAAAACATATATACAAAACTGAGGATGTCTTTATGAATTTATACATATATAAAAGTAACTACAAAGGAAAAAGGCAAAAACTTGAAAGACAGTAAGGAGGGGAGCATGAATGGGCTTGAAGATAGAATAGGAAAAGGGATATGCTGTAATTATTGTATATGTAAAAAGAAATAAAAGAATTAATTAAAAATCTTAATGAGCACATAATCCGTGATAGTTAAAGCAACCTGAGCAAAATAATACTTCTGAAAATGATTATCACACCTGATCTCTTTACGCTATACATTTATAGTAACAAAAGCATTGTGGTCCAGGCCCGAAAGTCCTAAAGCATATTGGAATAGAACACATGGTCCAGATACAAGGCTCCATACCATGTATCTGAATTTTTACAAAGGTGTACAAAATATGCATCAGAGAAATTACAGTATCTTTAGTTGGTGCTAGGAAAACTGAATATGAAGAATGAAGATGGGTCCTCATCTATCACCCTGTATACAGCTCAACCCTAAATGGATCAAGGATTCATCATATGATCTGGGATCCTGAAAGTTCTAGAGGGAAATTGTAGTGTACACCAATTTGTAGACCTAGATAGTACTTTCTGAATAGGACTCTGGTGGCACAGAAATGAAGACCAGCAGTTAACAGATGTGACCTCATGAAATTAAAAACAGTCTTTCTCACAGCGAAGATAACAGTCAAACAAGCCTGCAAAATGGATGAAATGATTTGATAACTATAAAACACAGAGGCCTGACACCAGAATATATAAAGAACTCATAATACAAACTATCAGGTAAACAAACAACCCAATAAAAACTTTGGTTATAAAACTTAACTAAGAGTTCACAAAAGAAGAACTACAAATAACTAATAATTTTTTTTTCAAAATATGTTCAAGATCATTAGCCACCAGGGAAATACAAATAAAAACTTCATTGAGATTCTGCTTCAAATTAAATGGAATGAGTATTACTAACGGGTATCAAATGAAAAAATTACTGGAAGTATACGTGAAGCAGGAAATCCATATACATCAATGATGGAAATAAAAATTGCCGTGGTTCTTACAGAAAACGACCTGGAAGTTTCTTAGAAACTTAGAAAAAAGTTCCTTCTTGCCTAGCTATTGCATTTCTAGGCATATCCCCACGTATAGTTGTCTTCATCCTACTATACAGACATTTGAATATCCTAGTTCATTACTGTTATATTTGCAACAACTAGGTAATAGAATTAGCCTAGATGTCCACCAGTTGCTGAATGAATATAAATGCACAGTGCATATACAATGGGATTTTATTAATCTATAAAAAAATCTGAAAAAATGGGTGGAGCTGGAAAGTGTTATACCAAATGAAGTAAGTCAGACACACTAGTCAAATGCTGCACATTATTTCTCCTGTGTGAATCACGTAGGACAGACTTGAATAGCTGTTCTGGAGACTAAGAAGTACAAAGAGAGAGGGGAGAGAAGAAATGGTACCAGAGCACACTTAAGAGATTCAGAAATGCTTCAAACTATGTTATACCACAGTAGGGTGACTAATGATTAAAAGAATCTATACATTATTTGAAGAATTCAGTTTTTCAAATATGGTCTCACTTTATAGTCCTGGATGACCTTTAATTGCTATGTAGATAAAGCTGGATTCAAATTCACAGAGATTCACTTGCCTCTACCTTCTGTCTGTTGAGATTAAAGGTGTGTGCCACAACACCAGATATAGTTACTATAAACTAATATAAATATTTCTATTCATACATTGCTCTTGTTATACTTGAAAACACCTGTCTTTATTTGATAACTAAAATTAACCTGTGAAATGAAGAAAATTCAAGTTTGCCTCAGGTTTGTATCATGACTTTCTATATAAAAATATTACTATATGCAATATTTTCCATAACATCATGATGTAGACATTAAACCTGCATGGTAAAATTTTAAAATGAAACTTGCATTGATGGTTCTTCCAAATATCCCACTTTAATTCTGCCTGTAGACTGTTGTAAGTCATTTCAATTATTTTTAAGATTTCTTCTTGATGATTTGATGCTGTGAGAGTTCTTTGTGTCAGACAGAAATGAACTTGTTGATGGTATATAGTGATTGTCAGATCCAAAAACAAATAGGTATTTTCTATATGTATTTTCATGTTTTCTAATTTCAAAGACTTACTCTCTGAGCACCTGTCTTTTTATATGTCCCCTATCCCCTTCTTTAATTCTCATTTTATTTTTCTCTTCATATTCTCTTTTATTTATTCATTATTTGTATTCATGGGCTGTTGATGAGCTCAGATCCTGATATTACAGGATACATAAAATTAAAATTTATGTCCTAGTTACACATACCTTGAGAACCTTGCACATGATCTCACATATGGAGAAAGTTTTCTCTGCGCGTGTCCAATCCCAGGTGGTCACCTTTAAAAGAGAAGTTAACAGTTAGTTTGTTCTAGTACTGCAGTTCTGCTCCCCTAGGTAATGACATATTTACAGATGTGTTTCTTTACTTTCTCTCCATCTGTGATGGAGTTCATTTCATATAAAGTTCTACACCACTTGGGTTTATTCAAAATGTATCACCATTTGTGATACATTTTCAGAAAACTTCTTATGTTGTTGGCAATGTTTTGGTGTGTTTTAAAATAATTTGTTTGTTCTCTGAACATGGATATTAAGTATGTGCTGTAGGTCACAAGTTTATACAGGGAGATCTCACTTGACAAAATCACCAGGCTAACCCATCAGTATCATTATCATGTATCCTACTGGAGGAAACCCTAATTGCAAAGTGTTTGGGATACCTGTCATCCCTATAAAACCTTTGTGAAACCATAATGTTTCCCATTTTCCATAGTGGCATTCATCCTCCCCAAACCACAGCAGTGTATTAATCAATTATTGGACACAACTCCCCCTTGTGCCGGTAAAGTGGATAACCTACCCCCACATATCCCTGGTATGAAAGTTAGTTCCATTTCTTATTTTGAAATATTTTATGTCTCTAAGCAAAAACAATTATTCAAGGTAGGAATATAGTAAGAAATATAAACATTTTTCTAGTACTATGAATTTTGTGTAGGTAAAATCATTAAAAACAATAATGATTCAGTCTTTAAAACTCCCCAATCTATTACATTATTAAACCTGTCTTTGACCAGCATGGCATTTTGAGTTTATAATAAATAAATATTTATTTCTTTTTACTTCATTATAAGATACATGTTTACAAAGCAAGGCTTTCAAGAAAACAGACATGCAGACATATTAATATACATGGAATATACAATATAATGTATCATGAACATAGCATGGATTAGGTTCTAGAATAACTACACCATATAGATGCCCACATGTTGAATTGTAAGTGATAGTTTAATGCTGTAGAATTTTAATATCTCTGAAGATACATGTATTGAACAGATGCCTCTGGTCTATTATATTTTTGGACATGGCTGAATATTTAGAAGTTGATCTAGAATTCAAGGAAGTTTAATCATCAGAAACATGGATTTCCATGGAGTATTAACAACCCAAGTCTTTTTATTCTCTATATACCCTGGTTGCCATAAAGTGAGCATCTTCCCTTGGTCTGGATTCCAACCATGTTGCACAATGTTGCTCTCAACCGGGAAAACATGGCTGTGTGGTTAAGTATTGAATTCTTTGATACTGTTAGACAAGATAACAATATAACCTTATTTTATCTAATGGATGTATCTACACAATTTTTATGGTAGGGAAATCTAATGTATTTTTTGAATATACATCTTTTTTTTTTTCTAAGGTAATTTCATGGAACTCTTCAGTTTTTTTTTTTTTTTTTGTTTAAGTTTACCGTTACTTTTCTTTGTTAAATAACAGGTTTTGAGGCAGGCTCACTATACACACCTGAACAGCCTTAAGTGCCTAATCTTCTTCCTTAAATCTTCGTGACTTCAAGACTGCAGGTTTGTCGCATCACACCTGCCTTTCATTTAAACTTTTAACATTTGGCTTTATACGCCTAGAGTTAATATTGACATTATTTTGAGATTTTATGTATTAAGAACTAATAAAATTTAAACAGAAGTTGAACACTTAATGGTCACAATGAAGTACTTCAAATACAGACTACAAAATGAATGGAACATTCATAACTATACAATAGAAATTCAAATCACTTACCCTATCATCATTTCTTTAATTTTTCATCAAATTGATTAAATTTCCTGACATTTATAAGGAGACATTCCTTAAATACTTTCCCATGACTTCATGGAATTCTTTTCAACAATATTGTGAATTGCTACAATTAAGCAAAAATATGTAATTTCTTCAAAACCTTAAATTTGACAAACTATTTTGGATAGACCTTAACTATTTACTGACTGCTCTGTGCCTCATTCTCGAATTTTATTGATAAATAGCTATCATTCAGTCAACATCAGAGAGCTGTTGGCACATGCAACCATTTGGTTACAATCACTTACTGGAGGTGAAGGGAACTTGTAAAGACAGGAGCCCCTCAGGGCAAGAAAGACAGGCGTGTACACACGATCCTGGAGCGAGTCTTGCTCCCGTGCTTCGCACCAGCCCATGTAGACTATCTGCAAGAAATTAAGTCCTGTTAATTGCCAAACTACACTTTACAGATGGTAGTCAGCTTGTGTGTCTTGCACTGTGATGATCTCATATAAAGTTACCCGTCTTCCCATCAGCAGTGGATATGATCTACTCATAAGACTTTGCCTCTGTGTATTTGTCATGAGCTGGCATGAGCTACTTTTCCACAGCCTCCCTCCCTCCCATCCTCCCTCTCTCCCTCCCCCTTCCTCCCATCCTCCCTCTCTCCTTCCCTCACCCCCGCCGTACTCCCTCCCTCTATCTTCTCTTAAAAATGTTTTACTTGTACTATTAACTGAACTTTATTTTTTCTAATTATTTATATTTATTACATCTGAATGTCCTCATAACATAAAGCATGAAAATGAGCAATGAAATGCCTTTTCTGCTATCTATCCACTAGAATAAAGCACCACATTCTTTGGCATCATAAGATAGGATGTCTAATGTGTTGTTCTGAGCACTAGCCTTGGGTGAAAAGGGATATGTAAGAATTTTTGAGATTCATTTTACCTATATCAAGTTTCAATGACTGATAAGAGTATTGTGTCTTGCTGACTATTAGAGATCCATTTCTACAGGAAAGTTATGTGCTATGCATTGCTCCTTATGCTTCACAAATTAATTTCTGTGAGACTCATATATGTACAAATATATTAAATTTTGTAGCTTTGCCACAAGACACTTAACTGATTCCAATTTGAAGATACTTTTTACCTCATGAATTTTACTTTTTGATTTAGTGATATTTTTGTGACAATAATGTTTATTTTCTATTTTTTATTTATATTACAAACAATATTGTCTTACATGCCAATCACAGTTCCTTCTCCCTTCCCTCTTCACCTGACCCCCTATTGACCCCATCCCCCATCCCTTTTCTGCTCCCCAGGGAAGGTGAGGTCTTCCATGGTGTAATCTTCAAACTCTATAACATTATTTGGAGCAGAGCCTATGCCCTCCCCATGTGTCTAGGCTGGGAGTGTGGAATGGGCTCCCAAAGTCCATTTGTGCACTAGAAATAAATACTGATCCACTACCAGAGGCCCTATAGACTGCCCAGTCCTCCTTACTGACACCCATGTTCAGGAGGTCTGGGTCACTCCTACGATTTAGTGATTTTTAAGAGACTGGTTTATCAACTTTATTCTTTGCTATAATATCTGCTATGACCAATGAAATATGAAACACAAGAAAAGTGAAGGTTGGCTTAGTGACCACTACACTCCAGCCAAGGTGTAATAATGAGAGCAGCAGAACCCTTGGCTCCTCTGTCATGGCCATCTATATAGCTGATTACAGAGGATGGGTCCTTTCTCATGTCCACACCCGGGTATAAGAAGCTAGGAAGCTGGTTTTTATGCAGTGTCCATGGTAACAGTTGAAGAGTAACAACACAGGAATGTGCACAATACTCTCTGCTTACAAACAGGTAACATCTACTTTCCATTGCATTATTTTTACTGTCTAAAATGAACTAGAATGTCCATTATCTTAGTTTATATAATAACCCTATTGTGATTATAAAGTCTCAATTTTAATGACTTTGGGCATTATGATTTTTGTGTTCTGTCTTAGAGTATTAAAGTATGTTTTGAAATTTATACTATAATTGAACTCTTCATAGACTTTTCAATGGTTAATAAAATCAAAAGATCCAAGAAGAAAATGTTATTTGGATTTATTTTTATATAATTAATTATAACTAATAAAATTATATCAAACAATGAAGTTACTTTCATCAGAAGAACATTTACCTATGTATGTACTTAAACAAACATACATATTTGTATATATACATACATACTTATGCATATAATTATAGACACACATATGTATATGTGCAAATATATGTATTATGATACATATTTATACATAAACATTTGTATGTAGAGATAGTATTTTTTTCTGCTTATTTTTTGCCAACTTGAAATAACCTACAATCGTTTAAATAAAAGGATCTTCAACTGTGAAAATTCCCAAGTACATTGGCCTGATGGCAAATCCGTAGAGCAGTTTCTTAATTAATGATTAATGCAGAAGTGTCCAGTCCACAATGTGTGGTGCCACCACTGGGCAGATATTCCTGGATAGTATAAGAAAACAGACTGAACAAGTTAGGAAGAACTAATGAGTATTCCTCCTTGGCCTCTATGTCAATTGTTGCTTCCAGATGCATTGAGTTCCTTCCTTGGTATTTCTCAGTTATGAAGTGTGACCTGAGACTTGTCAACTGAAATAATCTCCTCCCCATGTTACTTTTGGTGATGCTGTTTTATCCTAATAATAGAAACTCTAACTAAGAGTGAAATTGTTTACAGAAATATGTGGTGTTGCTGTGGTAGACCTGAATGTGTTTAACTAGAACTTTGTAGGAGGACTTTGGATCTTTGGACTAGAAAAGCCATTGAGTGTTTAGAGCTTAGGGATTTGTTGTGGGAAATAAGTTAAACCTGAGAGCAGTCAAATTAGGGATGCCTTTCTCGTGAAGCCTCAGAGGGAAGTTGACAAGCTCCTTAAAGAATATAGATCATTCAGTATTTTGAATTAGACGCTTTGATTTTGATCAGCTGGATCAGAAGACTCAGCTGGAGAAGAAGACTTAACAAGAGTCTAGCATCATTAAAGCCAAATTTTCTGGAATGTTGTCCCTCAGGGTAAGTATAGAGTACATTTGGTGCAGAGGAGGCATAAGATTTCCTAATTCCAATAGTCAAACTTGGTAACGGGAAGAGCTTTCTAGATAGTACTAGGTTTGAAAATTAAAAGTGGCCATGATGAGCAGTGGAGGCTTGGCATCTGACAGATCAAAAAAAGACATTAATGAAGGTGCAGCCATAGTTGAAATAGCACTGCTGATCATGGATAGAAGGTAAGGCTTGGTACCACAGGGTATGGTGGTGTCAATAGCTTCTACCCAGCGCAGTTGCTGGGTAGGCCACAACACTTTGGGAATGCCAGTATAAATGAAGGACTTCAAAGGAAAAGAAGCTGTGGAGTGGAGCCAACCAGTGAAATGGCCAAGTGCTGACAAAGTCCTGTATGCTGAGAATATATGTTCTTGGTTGATGAATAAATCTGTTTTGGTTAATGGACAGGCAGGTTGTAGCCAGGCAGGAAGTGTGGGGGGGGGTATAGAGGAGAATTCTGAGAAGAGGACCACAGACAGTGCGTCACGTGGGAGATGCCATGGGACAATAGGAAGCCCAGGTATTCTACAGCAAGCCAAGACCATGTGGAGATACATAGATTAATAGAAATGGGTTAATAATTGAGAGAGAGAGCCAGCCAATAAGAAGCCATTGACCAAGCAGTTTATAATTAATATATCCTCTGTGTGTTTATTTGGGACTAAATGACTGGTGGAAGGTACACAAACTTTCATCTAAGCCAAACCCTTTGGAACCCTGGTAATCATGATTCGGTTCCAGGTGTCAAACACTGAAATTTTGACACTTCTGAGTTTTAGGGTTTTTGTTTGTTTTTTTAAATGTGTCCCTGTGCCCTGATAGATATCTCTTGCAATAAGAAGTTCTGTATTTAGTTTTTATCCCATGGGAACGAAAAGACTTTGGAATTTTAGAGAAACTTTGGTATTTTGGAATTTTAAAGAGGTTTTGGATGTATTTGTAGGGGATTTAGACATTTTATATGGGCTTTGAACCTTTAAAGGGACTTTGGTGACAGACTTTGAGCTTGAAGGGACTTTGAATATTTTAAAGAGATTTTAAAAGGCTTGACTTTTTGAAAATTGTGGGACTTTTAAAAGTTGGAATGTGTTTTACTGTGATGGTAATACTAATATGAGATCTTAGGAATGAGGAAGAATATAAAGGTAATACATTAACAGTAATGAGTTTGTATAAAGTTAAGAAGCGGTTTATTTTCCTGGTTATATTTCTGTCACCTTGACACAAGCTATAGTCATTTGAGAAGAGGTAACCTTAATTGAGAAAATGCCTCTGCTAGACTGGATTGTTGGCAAAACAATTTGGAGCACTTTCTTGAGTGATGATGATCGATGTGGAAGGGCCCAGCATGCTGTGGGTGATGCTACTCTGGGCAGAGAGCCCTGTGCACTATAGGTAATCACTGAGCTGCATATGTGGAGCAAGCCAGTGAAGCACTTTCTTGAGTGATGATGGATGCGGAAGGGCCCGGCATGATGTGGTTGATGCTACTCTGGGCAGAAAGCCCCGTGCACTATAGGTCATCACTGAGCTGCATATGTGGAGCAAGCCAGTGAGCAGCACTACTCTGGGCCTTCTGCCGTCAGGCCCCTGAGTTGAGTGTAGCCCTGACTTCCACTTCCTTTGATTAAAGAATGTCATGTGGAACTTCAAGTAAAAATAAGACTCTTTCCTCCCAAACTGCTTTCAGTCATGTATTTTTGTCACATTAAGAGAAACCCTAATTAAGACATATGCATGTCATAATATATATATATATATATATCAGAATATTTGAATTTTAATAAAAGAAGGCTATGATCAGGTTCTATGTATGTTTGGTATTTTTACATTAAGCAATTCGAAAAAGCCACCAATCCTACTTGCTTTATTAGCCTTGAAGCTGTTACTGAGATTTAATTCTTACACATTTAACAATATATGTGTATAGAGGGACAATCCAGTCTTAAGGACACTTACACCTGTATAGCACATACATTTAAACACGTCTTCTTTTCCATCAAATAGTTACTTTGCACAACAGGGCAGAGATTGAGTTTCTTCACTCACCCTCAAAAGTGGAGAGCAAACCTTTTCTTTAGCCTCAGTGCTGGAGTAAAAGGCCCCAGTCTCACGTGTGGACTGGATCCAGTCAAAAATTAGAAAGAAGGGACAAAGTCAATCTGGAAACAGATTGAAGTGATCCTACACGGTAAGTCTGAAGAAAACTTTTTGTGATGTAACCACTATTTCCTTATACCTTCATAATAATCTTCCTGTGATATGATAAACATAAGTAAACTTTTTTTTTTGGA